TTTTATTGAGGTCTTTTTGTTGTTGTTTTGTGTCCACATATGGAGGTTTTGAATGTTTTATGGCCTGTTTTTTCTTTATGTAGGGGGATATGTTTGGTCTCCTGATTTCTGTTCAAACTGATCTGATGCTGATTTCAGGTAAATTCATGTCAAATTAAGCACAGATCACCACTATAGCATGTAAATAATCACTTCATGCACATCAAAAATCTATATTGTTACAAAAAGTGATTTGTTTTTTTACTATGTTGTATTTGCTAAAAAATATATATAACTCTTTATTTATTTATAAAGCTTTTGAACATTACAATATTCTACTGCTTTTAAGGTATTTTTTCTGGCACCCTTACTGTCAGACTATTACTGCTTGTACACAGTAATTTATTTGGGGTCACTTTATTAAACTAGTTTCCGTGACAGACTGAAGGCTGCTGGAAACTGTCCATCTACACTCCTGATTTTTAACTCACTGCTTTCCAGATGAGCCGCAGATTATCTCAAAAGAACTTTTTATCGGATCGAACCAACAATGTTCCATGTTTTGTGTCTGAAAGGACCTTAAAATGATTCAAAACGACCACAAAAAGAATCAAAACAACTCAAGGTACACAAAAAAACAATAAACACACTCAAAACAACAATAAAGACACACAAAAACAGCCACAAAGACACAAAACTACCAAAAAGACACACAAAATAACAATAAACACTCTCAAAACAACAAAAAGACACACAAAAACAGCAACAAAGAAACAAAAAACTACCAAAAAGACACACAAAACAACAATAAACATACTCAAAACAACAATAAAGACACACAAAAATAGCCACCAAGACTCACAAAACTACCACAAAGACACACAAAAAAACACAAAACAGCAATAAAGACACTAAAAACAACAATAAACACACTCAAAACGACAAAAAAGACACACAAAACATAACAACAATAAAGACACACAAAAACAGCCACAAAGACACACAAAACTACCAAAAAGACACACAAAAAACAATAAAGACACTAAAAACAACAATAAACACATTCAAAACAACAATAAAGACACACAAAACAAAATAACCAAAAAGACACTCAAAACAACAATAAAGACTAACAAAAACAGCCACAAAGACGCACAAAATTACCAAAAAGACACACAAAACAACTCAAAACAGCAATTAAGACACTAAAAACAACCATAAAGTAAAACAAAATAGTGAAAGACACTCAAAACAACAATATCGACACAAAATACCCAGAAAGTCACTCAGTAAAAACACAAAATACCCAAAAAGACACTCAAAACAACAACAAAGACACACAAATGCAACAACCAAAAAGACACCCAAAACAACAAGGAGGGTACACAAAATAATGAAAACACAAAACAACAATAAAGACACACAAAACAACCAAAAAGACACTCACAACAAGAAAAACATGCAAAACAATCAAAAAGGCACTCAAAACAACAATAAAGACACACAAAACAATCAAAATGGCACACAAAGTGACCAAAACACAGAAGAAAGCCATGCAAAACAACCAAAAAGTCACGCAAAACAACAATAAAGAAAAAAAATAAAGTGTCACAGACTGAGCACTCTGAGATTTGTTTTGCTTTATGAATAAAGTGTATTTACAGAAGCACCTGATTGGCTGAACACCACAGTCATAACTAACACCAGTTCTAAGCCTATCTCTGTTTCTGATGCTGTTTGTTTTATATTATTTATGACATATTTTTCTGAAGCCATGAGTACTTTGAGACCCGGGCTTGTAGCTTGGCGGTACGGTGCCGTTACATAACCGTGTGTGTGTGTGTGTGTGTGTGTGTGTGTGTGTGTGTGTGTGTGTTGTCCGCCGGACGGTTTACCGGGTACCAGCGGCTGTGATCCCACAATGCAGAGCGGATGGCGCGTCATTGGAGAGGGACGATGATGGCGGCGGTCGGTGCACCAGAAGTGATCACACAGCTGGAAAGCGCTGCCAAAGTTTTAATGGTGAGAAACTCCCGCTTTGTTTTCGTAGCCCGCTGGGTGTTCGGTACCGGGTCCGTTAGCTTTAGCCTCGGCTGGAGCTCGAGCGGTTTGCGGCTCCGGTTTCTTCTTCTTCTCCTGAAATGTGTTGAGCTTTTTATTTTTTTCTCTCCTTACCGGAGAGACGGTGTGTTGAGCGATGCGTGGCGCAGCGCCTTCTCCATCCCGTTTATAAATAAAAGCTATCCTCCTAACATTTCCCTACATCTTCAACACCAACACGTTTGAAATAAAATTGGGTTTATGTCCGCTTTTCCAGAAACTTCGCCTCCCGTTCCGCCGTTACATCAAGTTTTTTCTGCTCTCTGGAGACTCCTGCAGCATCTCGCTGTTGTCGGTTTTCGCTGTAGTTTCAGTCGGTTTGTAGCTTTAGCTCGTCCCTTACTTCCTAAAACACTCATTTACACCAAGTATTTGCCTTCTTGCCCCGTTTGGAGCCTCCTCCGTGGGGACAAATGAGGCTAAATACCCCTGCTAGGGGCAACTAGCTAAACCATGTGCATGTCATGGGTCAGTGTGTTGGTCAAATTAGCTGTAGCAGCGTGTTCATGCTCTCTGCCATCTTGGTTTTGAACTAAAAGCACCCTATTTACCCTGATGGAGATTTATAAATATATTAAAATAAAGTAGATTCGTGCTTTAACTTCACATTTCAGTAGCAGCAGGTGTCTCGTGAGTGGCTTTGAATAGAATACAGTAGAAATCCTTTATTGTTTAAGCAGCAAGCCTGCCATTTTCTAGAAGTGCAAAAGAAAGTATGCAAATTTAAAACATAAAAATCCAGTAGAAAAATGTACGAGTGCATTCAGCAGTCAAAATAGTTTGTTCTTAGGTGAATAAAAAATATTAAAAATTGTAGTGTAACTGATGTTAAACTTCTAGATGTTGCAGAACATATATGAACAAGTAATNAAAATAAAGAGCTGTTTAAGGTTGATTTTTCTCTGTTTTTGTATTTCTTTTTTTCCCCATTTCTATACTTTTACAGCCCTTTTGTGCTTCTTTTTCATGTGTACAGGGCTGCTTTTTGATATGTACCTGAAAAAATATATAGAATAGAATAGAATAGAATAGAATACAATACAATACAATACAATACAATACAATACAATACAATACAATACAATAGAAATTTACACGCCACAGCAGCATCCAAAAATATAGAAAGTACAAGAAAATAACAATAATTAAGTAATATACATCCTGGTGTTCACACACAGCAGGTTCAAGGCCCCACCATCTCCGGTTGGGCAGTCTACACACTGGCTGAATATGGGGAGAGTGACAGAGAGCGATGGATGATTAAAGTCTCCTGAGATAACGATCAGAGACTGAGGGTGTGATGTTCGCAGCTGGGACACTGCAAACGTCACACCCTCATGCTAGAGCAAAGTACTGAGAAATGCCCAGTCTGCCATTGATGCCTGTGTTAAACACTGTGAGAGCAGCTCAGCAGCAGACTGAAGGATTTTCAACACTAGATGGCGCCACCACCAAGCAAATCAGTTCAGAGAGCATCAGAAGTAAAATTATGTATTTACACAACCTGTACTTTGTCCTGTTCATTCTACTTCACTGTAAATCACACAAAGCACCCTTTTTTAGGTTTGATTTACTCTGAGCAAAAACCTAAACCCATCGTGACATTTAGTTAAATTCCGTTCACTGTTTTGAACATAACTTACCATTGCAGAAGTATTTGTTTTAGCATATTTTTGTGGTTGTTTTGCATCTTTTCATGGTAGTGTTGTGTCATTTGTTGTTGCTTTGCATGTTGTTATGGAGGTTTTTGAAAGTTTTGTGTCTTGTTGTGAAGGTTTTGTAGCTCGTGTGGTTGCTTTAGGTTTTCTTGTTCTTGTTTTTTTGAGGTTTTGTGCC